CTCAATATTTCTCTGCTCAGTGGCAGTAATGGCTTCTCAAAGAAACCAAAAGGTGTCAGAATTAATATTCCGACAGGGTACCCTCTATAAATTGCCTATTGCAATGTACGTCCTCGGGTCTCTATCAGAAATTACCAATTATTAATTGCCTCTGAATCACAAACAAAACAAAGAAAATTTTGGACAGCAGAACTGTTTTCTGTATACATTCAGACGAGAATCAACAGAGTTTTCTAATTAAACGCCAACTGAGTTTAATTCCCTATTTCCTTAATTAGGTGCCCTAATAACAACCGCCTCTAAAATGTTAGTCGACTTAACGTTCAATGCCTTGGGCGATGTCAAGATCCAGTCGAAAAGGCGAAATTTGAAATTAATGTTCAGGACGCTGGTTCAAGGAAACGCAGTATTATAACTTAGAAAATCTCTTGGTTTCTCCCGACGATCCCAGGCAACCCTCGATTTGACACGACATTTCGTGGGTAAATGGAACATGCATGTTTTGACTTGGATTTTCAGAACAGCGAGAAATCCGTACACGGCTTATTTGACGCGAATGGCGTTCAATTCAGCGCCATATGCCAGTTTTTGACTTAAGTTTTTAGTGCAGCGAGCAATCCGTAAAGCTCATTTGACACGAATGGAGTTCCATTCAGTGCAAATGCAAGTTATTTCTGTTTTCATTAACGAGGTTTGAAAAAAAATTTAGGCAGCTAAATTTGAAAAAAAAGCATCACACAAATATAGCTATTGCTCGTTTTTATAATTTCAGATGTAACGGATAGAGTCAACGGAATCATGCTGTTATGTGTCAACATTGCTATAACGACTCTAAAAATGATTTGAAAACGTTTTTTTTAAAATCATTTTTCTCTGAAAATGACTAGAAAATGATTTTCGATGCGATGTTAGACAGAAACAGCTGATTTCAGTCGCTGATAAATCTCTTTCTTGGCACTCCGAAGCTCATAACTGCCTTCGTCTCGCTTATAAGTGACATCCAGTGGGTAGATGAGACTCGAAACCTTCTCCTCCCAGACCGAATGGCCAACCTGAAACTTGTAGTGGTTTGGCTTGCCTTCTATTTGCTTTAGCCACGCCAAGCGCACGCTCTGACCATCTGCGCTGTACTTTAAAACCTTAGCCAAGAATATCTCGGGCGATTTAGCTCGTGCATCAGCCGGTATAAGAGCGCATATTTCTCCAGGAGCGGGTAGATCACGTTCTTCCCCTGATGAATCATCCTCGACTTCGTCGTCAACATTGCAAGATGTACCTGGAACGTCGTCCACTATGGCGTTAACTGCTGATTGATTAAGGTAGTGCAATGCGCGTTTCGTTCTTTCCTGTTGACTTCTTTTGTCGTAGACCTGCATTTGAGTGCGCAAACTGTGCTTACAGACACGAGCTAAGCTTTCTGCCAGCTGTACATCGGAACTTTCTTTGCTAGACCTAAAGTTTTCCACCAATGCGTGTCGCATTTCGTTCATTGTGCAGTG